AAAACTAAATAATTTTCACTTTTCTGCAAAATTCACCAACTGCACAACTCTTGTTATGTAGTATAAGATTAGTAGTATTTGAAAAGAGCAGATGAAATCTTTTTTTAACAATAACAATATATGTCGTTAATCTGTTGCTAAGAGATGAGCATGTTTTCTGGTAACCAAGTTCCATGAAGTAAACATGATTTTTACATTTTTGCTTTAACATTAGCACAAACATTGCTAATATAGCTACGGCCCAAATTAACAATAGCCTTTTCCCTAAAATAAGCTTTTTAGCTATTTTGTTTATTTATTGCACACTGAATGGAGGAAGTCAATGTAAGACAACATGCTAGTTATACCCCACATGCTACTGGCAGCATTTAGGCTAACATTAGCATTTTGGCTGATTTTAGTTTATACACTAATTTTAATATTCTGAATTTAGTAAGTCCATGTTACTCAACATGCTTGTGACTTTCCACCTGCTATTGAGTACATTGTATTGTACTTTAGCATTGATGCTAAGGATGATTGACAGCACCAAGAGCCTCCTTCTGCCTCTGATTGGTCGTTTCTGACTGAGCTATGAATTTCTGCAGATGACTGTAGGACCACAATGAGATGGCAGAGGAGCTTAAATATATGTACCATATTTTTTGGACTATAAGCCGCTACTTTTTTCTTTTTTCCCACTCTTTCAACCATGCTGCTTATAGCCCGGTGCGGCTTATATATGTACGATTCCAGATTTTTAAAAAAAACTCTATGGGTGCGGCTTATAGCACTCTATACAGTAGATTTTTTTTTTCTTTTTACAGATTATTTCTCATTTTAAACTGTCACAACACAGTTACAGTTTTAACAAATATGTAAAAAACCTTATGTTATAAAAGTTGCCTACTGAAGCTTTAAACCTGCAGCAGATTATTTCAGGAAGAGGAAATCCACAAATTCCCATTCAGTATGTCCGTTCGACCTTTACAATGTGGATATTTTGAGCTTTGTCTCTGTTCTACTTCTTCACTCAGGTCCCCCACCATCTGGACCCCCGCCCACAACAAAAGCCCAGACTCAGTCACCCATGCAGCCTCAGCCAGCTCCCCCATCTGCTCAGTCGCAGCTGCCACCACCGATGCAGCCCTCACTTCCTGCTCCTCTGCAACCACAACAAGCAGCGCCGCCTGCTGCATCTACCCCACCTGCTGCAGCTCCACCCACCGCAGCGTCTCCTGGCCTTCAGCAGGGCCTATCCTCTCCTAAACCTCCACCACGCTCCCGATCTTCTCATGCTTTGCCACCTGATGCTGCCAAGGCTGACTCTGCCCCAGCTGCACAGGTTGGTGCTAGATTGAGTTAGCTTCAGCAACTGAACAGTTACAATTATGTTACTAATCTGTTCTATAAATTTATAACTAAGTTTATTGATTGATGTATTGAAATCAGCAGTAATAAGAATATATTTTTCTGCTTCTTTTACTCGCTTTAGTTGAGCTTAGTTGTGTGTCCTTCTTCCTGCTTTTGTCTCTGATGCATTTGTCTCTTTCTCACAAGCTGGAGAAGCCATCAGGGTGAAAGGTACTTTATATCAAACCACCTTTTTGTCTCATCCTCCAAAACACAACAGTCCTCTGCTCTGTTATCACTCCTCATACATTACATGCAGTAATCCCTTTTGTCTTCTGTTGCAATTGATTTATTTATCCTTTGTAGTCTAAATACGTCAGCCAACTGCCAGGGCTTATTGACGTTTATGTTAGGCTCATAAAATTTGCTTTTACTCTTCTTTTTTTTATGGAATAAAGATAGTTGTTGTTTCCCCTCATTTGGTCCTTCATATGGTCTCACTCTGCTATTGAGGGATAGAGTGGGCACATGTGTAATGACTGCATAAATTGTTTTAACATGTTGATTTGTTCAGAATCCATTCATGTGTGTTAAATTCAGAGACTGAATGTTAATGGTGATACATGTATTGCTTATTAATTTTTAGTATGTTCATATTAAAGGTACCCTGTAAGGGAATGGCATGCTTTATAACATATAAGAAAAACAGATGTAGGCATTTATAAAACTTGACAAATCAGTTTGTTCCATTAAACAAAATCAAATTTACCAAAAAGAAAAAAGTAATTTAATAACATTCAAAGGGGTATCTTTAAGTTTTTGTCACCAACATACAGTGATGTGCATAAGAATTCACAACCATTTAATTTTCTTCTCATTTTGTTACCTTACAAGTGGCAAGTTGGTATTTTGAACAGTAGATCAACACAATGTAGACATGCATAGCTCTGGTCTATAAGCAGCTCTGCCTGTATGTTTAGTGTCAATCTCCTCCCGAAAGGTAAACCTCTGCATCAGTCTCAAGTCCATTGCTGCTGCTCTTCCTGTCCCTGCTATTATGAAGCCTGATGCTGACACCTTTATGTTTATTGGAAAGTTTGGCTTGTATTGTGTAGTACATTTTTTCCCTTCTCATATAGTATTTTGCATATCAACCAAAAGGTTACATTTTGGTCTCTTCTACAGTGAGATCTTTTTGGCTTTCATCTTGCCACTCTAACACAAATGTTAGATTTGTGTTGTTAACCTGTTCAGATTCTTCTAACTGAGCTGCGGATCTCTGCATTAGAGTTACCACTGACCTCTTGGCTGCTTGTCTGATTAACAGTTCTTTGTAACTAGCTATTGTGTTGTCATCTTTATATTCTGGATGATAAATTGAACAATGCTGTTTGCGCCCTTAAAATCTTGGGATATGGTTTTCTGACCCAACTTTGCTTTAAGAGGTTTTATACCTGACCTGTTCAGTGTATGCTTTCTAATAAATTACCTCAGGGATGATGCTGTTTCTTCACTAAGGTGGACTAAATTGTATATAGTTTGTTGCACTGGATTTCATCAAGTGTTCTCTCTTTCCCAACTTTTACTGGTTAAAACATCTTGCATCCTTTTATTCCACTTCACAATTGCACCTGTCACATAAAATCCCACTAAGATAAGTGGAAGGGTGGTTATAATAGGACACAAAATGTGAAAAAGTTCTTCTGCAGAGCACTGTATGGTTCATTAGATTATAAGTTTGTATGTAAACACCTCAGTGATGTTAACATGTTTTTTATTTATTCTTAACATAATCTGTTTTTGCACCTAAAAAAGATTTTCTCTGTTCTGCCCTGTTTAGACCAACGGACTAAATGGATTCCAAAGAGAAGCACAATGGAAGCCTGATCCCTTTGACTCTCTTACATTCAACATGTTCTCCTCTTCATCATCATCCCAGCACACCACCCAGTCCCTAAACAGAGGCTCCTCTCTGCGCCCTCCGCCGTCTCTTCCTCCATCTGTATATTCCTCCTCCACTCTCCCCTCGTCCATGTCCTTCCAGTCCTCCGCTTTGTCAGACCTTCAATCCCTGAGCTCATCCTCCTCATCCTCATTCTCTACCCCGTCACCGTCAGCCACCCTGCTGCTCCCGCCTCCCCCGTCTCGCAGCCGCTCCCAGGAGTTCCTGCGTGCTTCCCCGAACGTTTTCCAGTCTGAGCCGCTCCCTGCCCGACCCAGCAGCACCAATCCCTTCACAGGCCCCCTGGTCCAGCAGCCGCTGCCGCGTCGTTCCCTCACCCCAGAATTCAGCCTCCAGCATCCAACCCAAACGGCTGACTTTCAGAGGACCCCATCTGCTTTTTCTCAGCCACTCATCCCCACCCTTGCAGCCGCACCGTCCTCCCAGCACAGTCGGACCGTGTCTTTGTTCGGACCGTCATCCAGTCCCACTCCTACTCAAGCTTCTCTGCTTCCTCTTGATCCGTCTCCTGCCCTCACTTTACCGCTGGCGCCGCCCTCTTCCCTCCCTCCCACTCTCGCGCCTTGGAGCCAGCCCCCACTTCCCTCAAGAGGGAACCAACAGAAGCAGTGGGTCACTTTTGATGATGATTCGAAGTTTTCCACAACAACCAAAACACAACAGAACCCCATGTTCTTGTCCAGTTCCCTTGTGCCCCAGAGTCAAACTCAGTCAACCCGCTCTGTGTTCGACTCCGAGCCTGAGTGGTTATCCACTCACGTCCCAAACAGAACTGTAACCGGTAACCTGAACCCCCCACAGGGTCCCACCAACAATGGCTTTTTTCCTAGGTAGTCAGCAGTAAAAAAAAAACAAAAAAAAAAACCTAATGTCACCCCTCAGATGCAAGGGGTTTATCCATATATGTATAGATAAATGAGTAAATGTGTTTATGTAAAAAGAAGAGACAATATTTAAGAATTATAGACCAAACCCTTCAATTACAGGAAAGAGTTTATATCTCAAAGCAGTATCATGAGAAATGTTTGAGCCCAGCTGCGTGTTTTAACTTTTAAGCTTCTCTGATATTAAAGGGACAGTATTATGTAAAATTTACTTTTTGAGCTTTATATCATGTTATAATGCTATTTTCTCATCAAAGACATATCTGGCGTGTTGCTTTGACCTTTTCATGCATGTTTGAGAAATCCATTAATCTCCCATGGCAACCATTCAAACTGTCCATGACGCTTGCTGTCACTCAGCGTTATCTTTTCCGCGCAGATCAGTCTTCAAGCCCAGCCTCCACTTCACAGTGCACCTCTCTCCCACACCTTTTCCACTCAGCTCCTTCTGACTAGCGTTAGCAGCAATTAGCAAACACCTGGCGGATCGGTGCATGTGCTGGCTTATTATATGAGCTGTTTCTCAGTGAAACACTGGTAAAAAAAAAAAAAAAGTTGTTAAAGACTTAATTGAGTTGTTGTGATGAAGGTGGAGTGTCTCTTCCTAAAGAGACAGAGGCCCAAATTCCAGGGCATTAAATTCTTAAGTCAAATTATGTTTGATAAATACACCATTTTTATAACAACTGAAGGTAGCGTACTTACTTCATTGTGCTATTGTGCTAGAAAACGGCACTTTGTGCCTGAAAAACACATAATACTGCCCCTTTAACATTTGATTTACTCTTACTTGCTATGTATGTTTTAACTAACAGCAGCAAACACGTGCCTGTGTCTACAGTATGTTGTCCTATAAAGTATATCTATATACACAAGTCATGCGTTTACACCTGTGCAATATCAAAGCATACCTGTGTGGCTGCGCTGATGTTTCATATAAATATGTGTGGCTTTGCAGAAGACTCTGCGGTTCCCAACCACCATTTTGACTAATCTGAGCTCTCAGAGCAACAGTTGGTCGCTCTCTGTCTCTTTGTCATCTGGTTGCAGGATGAGCACTGCAGGGTTCTGGGTCCTTGTTTTTGTTTCCTGGAACTGACAGCTTCACACTTAGTCGCTTTAATTTGTGAATGTAATTTCATTTGCACTGGATTTGTTGACTCCACGGTGTGGGGAAAAAGCAAGAGCACAAGCCATTGTGTCAGTTTAACCGGACTGCCGCAGGACTGATATTCTATAATATCACAACATTCTCTTGAAAATTTCTCATTTAGTTTTCCGTTGGCATTCCTTATCTTTAAGACTATATACATTGCAAAAAGTCTTGTTTAGCTCAGCATCCAAACTTCTACATCGCAAAATCTTGTATAAATGTACGTATGATTTTAAAAAGAATTTGCTGGATGTGTGAGTGTGTTTGCAAGAACCAAGCCAGAGGTTTTGCTTGATGATACGAATATGCACTGAGATGCTGTATGCACTCTCCCGGTCATGCAGGTTCTAACACAAGAGAGCATTCTAGTTTGATTCCTCCTTTTGTTTTTTTTTGTTGTTTTTTTTATCCAAGGTATCAATCTATACTATTAGAAACTATAACAATGTTGCGTGATAGTGTGTGTACTTGTATTTAAAGTACAATGACAACATTCTCTGGATCTGCAAGGGTTATAACCAGACAGCACTTTTTTGTTTACTTTGAGTCATTTATTATCATTTCTAGTACCAGCTACTCTAAATAATTATTGTTACCGTGGTGAGAAGTGATGTGCTGTATTTGAGGTGCATATCGTCTGTTGTGCTCTTTTTTTTTTTTTTTTGGTTTTTTTTTTTTGGGTGTGAGCTTGTATAAAGATTGAAGAGTGGGAACCATCATATTTTGTTACAGACTCAAAGCTTAAAGCCAATATTCACTCACCTATGCCTGCAACTATATTTTTCCTTTAACCTGTCAGTTGCTGATTAAAGGCAATAATGTAAATTAAAGTAAAGGACTTTTTTCTTTATCAAATAAAAACTCTCACATAGCACTTTCTCTTGGTCAGATGAGAACATTTCCAGCTGATCGTGGCTCTAATAGAATATATTTTAGTTATCTGGCCATGAGTGGTCATTATTTATTATAATTAGTAGCAATGGGACTCTCGCATTGTTTTTGTGAGACAGCAGTTGCTACAAAATGATTTCAGAGGAAAAATTTTAGGTCATCCATAGCATCCTACATTGGTCCATGTTTCCTAGAGAATGTGAGTCCGTACCTTAACTCTGAAATTTCTAAGTAGATGCAAGCATTTCCGAATTCAGCATAATTTATAACAGACAAAAGTGAAAAGCTAAAGAGAGATAAACATCACGGTACTCTGCCGAGCCTTCCTGTTAATTCTGAAAAGTCTTGTTCTCTATAGACTTTTGTTGGCATTGCAAGAAAGGTTTCCTTTTTAACAGCTTCTTACATCTCTGTTTCCTTTGACTTTATTTTAAACACCTCACTTATTCTAAAACTCGCTATATCTGGAAGTCTTCTTCACTTAGCAACAGTATGCACACCTAAGAGTGTTGTCAGTGCCACCTCCTGTCTCCTGTGTATTTTGCATTAACGGAAGTGGAAAAAATACTTTTTGCCCATCTGTGCTTTTTTGTTTCCAGTCAGCTGAAAAATTTTTGGGTTCTGCTCATCGGCCCATTTCTTGTTGCACCTCTAATTACAAGTTGCACAAAGTATTTAATATTCCACATTTAATGTCTGAACATGACCGTTTCCAGCTGTTGAGAGGTTGTTTGTTTTATAGTCTTACAGAATTTTAATTCATTTTTAGGTGTGTTTCAGTACTTTGTCTTGTACTTCCTGATTCACTCATTAAATACTTGTTTGGGTGAGCTGAAGGATCAGTAATGGGCAGTATCCATCCTAACATGACACACCAAATATTGTCTAGACATATAACATGTCCCCCTTTTCACATAGAAATTAAATAAATGGATAAATGTCTAAGAAGAATTTTTGAGAGAAAAAAAATATAAACTGAAGATCATGTCTGTTAGGTTTTGCTTCTATGCTTTTGTCACATGTAAATACGCAAAGTAAGTCTCATTCTCTGTATTTAAAATCTATATGTAAGCAAGAGTATCAGGCACCAATTGCTTACACGCCATCTCTGAAATATATCTGTTGTTATCTCAATGTGTGCAGTAGATACTGTATCAACAGTCGATCACTAGCCAGTGCTTTACATCATGTCACGGTTCAGATTCAAGATTTCTTTTAGGTAACAAATTACTCCCTTTGTGAGGTCGATTTCCCTTTTTATGGCTATAATCCATAGTAAATAAGAGTCCGTGTTGTGAAACAAACATATTCTGTATGTATTAAAGTGAGTACATGAAGCTGTAATTCATGTTAATATCCATTGTTCCATAGTTTACGTGCAAAGCAGATGGCACATTAATGTATGAAACAGTTTGTGTTGTATGTGTGCTAAAATAAATGTACATTGACATGTACGTTTTGTTTTATTTTGTTTTTGGGGTTGGGTGGGCTGAACAATATTAATTCACAGCTCTACCTGTAAATCAATTTCAAGCCATCACTTACTAATGTGTTATCATATTACTGTAGATTTGAAAAAAAAAAAAACATTTAATCATTTCTTGGAAATAAAGTGACAGACATTCCTGCAAACTGTGACCTAATGGTGTATGAGGAAACCAGCTAAAACTAAGTCTTTGGCAGTGTTTCAAAATGAAAGACACACAATGCTTTTAATTAAAATGACTGTCACAGCCGTCAGTTATCAATGTTTCTCCGCTTTAATGTTGGCTAACACAGCTAACGTGGCCAATGTTTCTCAATCACAAAAACTAATTATGGGATACACCTCTGGGCATAGACGTTTGTACAGACACACTTAGAAACATAAACAAAGCTTGTTTTAGCCACCCATGTGCTGTGGAAATGTTTTTATTTTTTTTTATCTCTTTTTCATACTCTATGCCTTTGTTGCCATTGTGCCTTTGGCTGTTTAGTCTGCCTATTTATGGAAGAAGAACATAGGGCTTCAAGTGCATTGCAGCTCATAAAATGGTGTCCCTATTCTCAGCATAGAGCAGGAATATCAACTCTCCCTTGCCACCACATGCATGAAAGTAATGGAAGTCTTGTATATTTTTAGTTCTTGTCTGTGCATGTTATCCCTTTGTGATTTTGCCATGGGTAGCTGACCACATGATCCATAAAAAATAAACATGGTGATGAGGTTGATGTGCAATATTAATTTTGCATCACACAAAAAGTTTGCATGTAGCACCTTCTATATCTTTACAATGTACCCTGCATGGCTTGTAAACAACAGTTCAAAGTCTACCTCATAGGTTCTCCCACCTGGGATTTGTGCCCTCCTTGGCGATATTTAATTTTTAACTGTTCCAAAGGTGCCAAGCCATTCAGCTTGGTCTTTTTGCAGTTGTGGCATAGTATATTGTTTTTGTTTTTAGATGATGGAGCAGAACTCCATGAGATGCAGAAAGTTTGGAATAATCATATGACAATCGTATGAAGCCTTCAGAAGACAGCTGTATTTACGCTGAGACTGAGAGTAATTTATTCCTACGTGGACTCTCTATTAATTAGGAATTTTTTGAGGGAGAATATTTGTAATATAATTTATTTCAAGTTATTGACATAAATAGAACTGAATACAAGTAAATAGCACACTTCAGTTTTTCTTTAAAAAATTATTGTTTCACTTCACAATAATTCTCTACAACGTGTTGGTTATCAATGTTCCCTTAAATTGGCTTGACGGTACTCATTTTTTTAAGATTGGTAGCGTAAGAGATGTTAGATTACTTTTTTTTTAAAAAAGGGACAAAGTCAGGCGAAGTCATACTAAATTCATCTGGAAGAACTGCTTTAGAATAATAATGTTCCTTACCGTTAGAGGGCAGTAAGTGTGACAATATTCTAGAAACCGCAGTCCAGAACTCCATTAGAAGAAGTAACTCCACAATCGGAAATGGTAACAGCAGTTAAAAACAAATTATAAGCTCACACTCAGCTGCAAAGAAGACCTACTTGTCATTTTACTTACCAGGTAAGCTTCACTAGGATCCAAAGCTGTGTATAATTTTCATTGTTAAACATTAAGCGCCGCCCGTGGCTAACAGCTACATCAACTAGCTAGCTGAGGTTACTCGTGCTGTTCTGGAAGCATCCGCGCTTCTCTGTTACCATGGTTACTCTGTTGACCTGAAGACGCCTTGGTTGTCGGCATCGGTACTAGCAGCAACTTTGTTTCTTCTACTTTCGCCTATAACTGTCTCTGTTAGGAGGAGAGCTGGTAAAGGATGGTGCAGCTGCATGTGAAGCGCGGAGATGAGAGCCAGTTTCTGTTCAACACCACAACGGACTCTCTTCTGGAATCGGTGATCCAGCAGGTTACTGCTATTTACAACGGCAGGCTCAAAGTGGACAGGATATGTTCAGGTAAAACTCTGTCTCCATTGCTGCCTGTGCTTTCTGTTAAAGATCCACATCCTACTCATTCCTGCTACTGTGAACTGTTAAAGCAGTCTTACAGTTGCTTTGGATTTTACGTAATGTATTCAACACAAATTGAATTGTTTGATGGTCATCGAAATGTTTTACAAATGGAAAAACTGAAAAGTGTGGCATGCATTTTTATTCAGGACTGTTACTTAACTCCTAAATAAAATCCAGTACAATCAATTTGGTTGCATAATCTATTTTGGTATAAATCCAGCTGTTCTGCAAAGGTTTGTTTGAGGACATTAGTGATCAAACAGTATTATGAAAGTACAGAGATGTACACCTCGTGTGGAAGAAGTGTTTAAGAATATATTCACACCACACTTGAGATGTCTATTTGTAGAATAGGCTTGCAAATCATATTTTATATTTCATTTTGTCTGAAAGCTCTACACTCTTTGGGACATTGCTCTAAATATTATGTAGAAATACAATTAAATTTGTGATCTTTCTATCTGGTGTCAACATACTTTTTTTTTTTTTTTTTTTTTATTTTTTGTGTTTTTTTGCCAGAGTCCCCAAATTTCGCCACTCCGGGCGCCACGCTCCCACACAACAAAC